TCACAAGAGGGGCGTGAAGTGCAATTAGTGACAGAGGACTCGTTAGTGTGCAAGCTGTCTGACGTGATCGCTGGGGCCGCATCTGGTAGAACGGATAAAGGGAGTTCTCATGGAAGAGACCACTAGTCCGACCATTTCGATTGCTCTGCAGCGAGGACTGCTCCTTGAAAAATCATTGAATAAATCTTCATTTAATTCAATTTCTAGGATCCACGCTAAGTGAATGTCATGCGGCGACACCGGATGAAGTTGCCCGAGCTGTCGATACAGCACAGAAAGCCTTCCCAATTTGGTCCAAAATGGGATGGCTTGAAAGAGGTTTAGTACTGAGGAAGGTCGCAAAGGTAATGTTCATGCTTATAATTGTTGGTGTGCTCACAGCCTGTTATATTATAGCTATTATGGAAGAACTGTGAAGAAATTGCAAGGTGGGAATGCATTGGCAGCGGAAAACCGATTACTGAAGCACGGCTGGACGTACTTAGTTGTGTAGATACGTTTAACTACTATGGAGGAATCGGTTAGGAACTGATTTACATCTTTTCTTTCATTTTTAAAGATTTCTTTTATGTAATTGATACTTTTTTAGGTCAATCATTAGCAGGCCAGCATATTCCTTTGGGTCAGGATCGGTTTGCTTATACGAAAAGGGAACCGTTAGGTGTTGTAGGATGCATAGGTTAGTGCCTATCTAAAGTTTTGACTAAGCTAAATAAGGGGGATCAGGTGGCGACACGACAGCTCAGCGCCTTTAGCTCGTCTGCAGTCTCTCTTGAATAGGTTCAGCATTGGAGAACGCAGACGAACAGAATGGGTCTTTATGGCTGCCCTCGACTGCCCTTCACCTTTTTTCTATTTTCCACCTTTTTTCTATTTTCTTTTTTTCCATGACTAATTCACAAATAGCAGTACACTTGGACTCCACGTACGTTGAAAGGTAATTTTTGGATTAAACTGAGCTTATTAGCGTTGTATAGACTATTGTTTTCCTCTGGTAGTTTATCGTAGTTGTACTTCATCTCCCCATCCGCCTCTCCCCCCTCCCGCAGCCCTCCCGCAAATTCCATGGGAAAAATTGGCAGGAGTGTGGAAGGTTCTTAAAGGGATTCGTACAGGCCTTCCTTTTTGGGAAAGTTGTGCTGAAAGCCATTAAACCCATCCCCGCAATGTTGCGCAATCGTAGAAACAGGTCTGCTAAATTTTGACGACTTTTTTTACATGCACCTTATTTGCTTACGGTTAAGGTACGTGGAATTACCCGATCCAGACATGCTCATGGAAAGTGGCACCAGCATTGGCATGTGGTAACGCTGTCGTTTACAAGCCAAGTCCATTAGCTCCGATTTCTGCTGTGATTTTGGCCCAATTATTACAGTTAGCTGGTTTAACAGAAGGAGCTTTCAATGTGGTACAGGTGAGACTTGATCTTTGCTTGTAAGTTTTCATAAAAAAAATGTCCTCATCATGCTAGAATTTGAACAACTCGCTGGCCATTCAGTTTTCATGATGATAGACCTTATTTCTGCGAACTTCACACTTTGGACCAAGTGTGCCTCCCTCATTGGTGTGCCCCTTCTTTGAGCAGGGCACCCCATCGTTGTGATGATCACAACCGGGTGTCGTACATGATCGCGAGGGAGTGGGGGGATCATATTCAGACTGAGAAAAAATTTTTTTGGTATTCGATTTCTCTTGTTTCACGGACGGCTATAAAGGGGGGGGGGGGTGGTCGTATTTGGCTGTGGTTGAGAGAGGGAGATTTGCCAGACATTTATACAACTACTATTTCCGATAGTTGAAAATGATAGTTAAGTTGACGACCTCCCTCCCCCCCCCCCCCAACTCGAAAGCAGAATTTTGGGGAAAAACCAGAAGGAAGTTTTGAAAAAAACTGGTGGGAGCTTAGGAGAAATCTAAGAAATTTCCTTGTTTCATATTGGGTATTTACCCTCTCCCCCGCTCGACGGATTCGATGAATTGAATCATCTCTTGGATGAAATAGAGAACTTTGTCGTAAAAAGCCTTCTGTTAGTTTGGGAACATTCCATGAAGTGACTAGGATTATCATCGGGTGCGGGGGCGGGGGGTGGCGTTGGTCAGGAGAGGTAAATTAGGGGGATGACAAGGTCGTAATTTGATCCAAGGAAATGATCACAACGCGATGGCGTGCCCTGCCTTCAAGCTGGTGGAGAGGAGGGGCAGATCAGTGAGGAATACACAACTGCTCTCTTCTTCCGCGCACACGAACAGCGTGAGCTGTGCTTTCAAAATAACACTATTTGGTGAGACGTTAGGCACAGTTGCGCGCGATAACAATGTAGCTTTGACCTTCTGGGTATTCTATGGCACCGATTGTCAAGGAAGGGTCCATTTGCGCCACAGCATATAGCCGCGTTAGAGGGGTCCTGTTTAATTATTAAATAAGTACTGTACTAGGTTTAAGTGTTGTAAAACCATGTTGTTCCAGGGCGATGTAGAAACCGGCAAAGCTCTTATTCTACATCCACTTGTTAAGAAGATCTCATTTACGGGAGCTGTCCCAACAGGCAAGAAAATCATGCAGGTGCGTGAAACCCCAGTATTTTTCGAATAAATGGTTCCGATTTACTTGCTCTTTCAAGGACTGTGCAGCCCGCAATGTGAAGCCAATAACATTAGAACTAGGCGGAAAAGCATCCTTGATAATTTTTGAAGATGCTGATCTCGAATCGGCCGTTTCTGGAGCGATGATGGCGAATTTTTTCAGTCAAGGGCAGGTGTGCACGAACGCTAGTAAGGTGCGTTTTCATGTAGTGTGTTGGTATTGATGGCCACTATGGATCAATATTGATTTTATGAAAAGACCTGATAGGTCTGCTACCTTGACAGTGGACTATTCGTAGTATATTGAGCCTCCAACTTCTTGCAGGTGCTCATTCACCGCTCGTTAGAAGCGGATTTTGTGGCGTCACTGCGAGAGAAAACAGAAGCCATGCGTATTGGTGACCCTCTCGAGGATACGACGCGAGTTGGAGCCCATATTTCACGTAGTCACATGGAAAAGGTCAAAAGCTACATTGATGGTTAGTTTTTAAATTGATTTGCTTGTAAGTTATTTAGTAGATTTCGGCACCACGACACGGCTACGTGCCATGAATGAAGTCCTAAGTACCAAAAAAAAGTTTAATTGACAGTTGTAAATGAGATTTTATGCTGTTATTGCGCGGTGAGGGGCTAGTGGACCAGTAGACGGATTGTCTCAAGAACTCAGGCGATTAATCTAGATCAGAATTCCCCAAATTAAACTACTCAGCAAAACGAGTAACTTAAAAACAGTGGGCACAATGGCGGGGCGACGGCTACTGCCATTGCCATTGCTGGAGCGGCGGAGTGGGGTGTGGTCAAGCGCCCTCTCGCAGCTCGTCCACCAATGACGTTGCTATAACCGGGTATTTGACAAGAAAATCGTAATTCGCCGCGCTGGGGGTGTCGCATGCGACGTCGCGCCAGCAAATGACGATGGTTCCAGGTAGTAGATGGCGACAACAGGCAATTCAGAACCGAAAATAGTCATGAATGTCTACGATGACGGGGTCTACATGAAGTCCGGTGCTCCAATCGACAGGTTAACACGAGTTAAGGAAACACCGCGCCTATCGCCGCGCGCGGTCGAGCGGCAAATTACGATTCTCTTGCCCGTCTGCCGCTATAACCATCTGCCCCCAGCCTGTGTCCACTGCCTTTCAGAAACAGAACCAAATGGACCGATGATCTCAGCCTTTGTTTATACCAAGCCCTATATCCTCACTTGCGGCGAGAGCCAAGTTTCCAGTCTGGTTCCCCCACCTCCATCGATATTTTCTCTCATTTT